ACAATACTTTCTGACTGCAGTTCAATTACTCACTACCTACACACATTGTCACGTCACGCCGTGACCATCTTATATATACCAGGCCACCCCCAATCTAGCAAATGCTAGAGCACTCCCGAAGGAACAGGATAGTTCTAGAAAACGGGTGGCGTGATACTAGTCACGTGATCTCGCTGACGCAACAATATTCAAATTATAGAGAAAACAAAATGTTACGTCTCTGATCGTTAGTTAATCTCCCGTATAATTTCTTTCCGATGAAACTTTAGCGATACAAGTCCTTTCTTAAATAAAACTAGTTTATTATTCCTCAATACAACTTTGAAATTCAGTTAATTTCAACGGTCACGCTATAACTTAAACAAACGCTATAATTCACAAGAACGATTCACGCACTTGACTCAATTGTCCGTCTCTATCTCTGTCTGCAGTTCAATTACATTCCATTGTTGCCGTCACTTCTTGGCGGCTTATATACAAGAATACCGCATATCTAGTAACCTCTCGAGGCTTCAAGAAGGGTCATGAACTTTCAAGAAGCGCATGACGTGCTACTAGGGTCACGTGACCTCCGCTGTCGTAACAGTAACTTATTTCCCACACACAGGGGGAAATGAAAGAGAACTGTTATTAAAGATATAAAACGTAATGAAAACACTTGACATTAAAAAAAAAACGTGTTCAATAGTTTTAGGGTAAGTACAAAAAGGACATTTATTGATGGTACTTTTAAATTAAATGTATGTAAACAATGACGAACAGAAAACACCCCGTGAGCCACTTTTCACATTAAATCTCGAATATACGAAGGGAAAAGTCTATGGTTGATGTTGAACCATGCGATTCGCCATTCCACCTGCAGGTAATTTGCCTGTATTTTAGGACTATGGGGAGGTAACAAAACTTCATACAGTTCCATCGTTATCTTCCCCAGTAACGAAGTAGATGATTTCAAGTGCTTCTCTATACCCGTGACCACACTGGCAATATTGTTGTTGTTTGTTATTAAGCACAAAGCTACACAAAGGGCTATCTGTGCTCTGCCCACCACGGGTATCGAAACCCGGATTTTAGCAGTATAAGTCCGCAGACATACCACTGTGCCACTGGGAGGGCAACACTGGCAATATACGGAGGTGGTTCTTCGTAGAAAAAACTATTTTATTTACTATCAGTGAAATACTTAACTTTTAAACCTAAATGGGAACATGAAAAATTAGAACTACAGTGTTCGGAATCCAATATTTTTACAAATAACTGAATTGTCTGTGCCAGGATGAGAGTGTTTAGGTCCCGCACTCCTGAACCACCTTCACGGACCGAACGTTTAACCGTTTCCCGGTCTATTAATTGTGGAGAATCGTTCCAGATAAACTTAAAAATGATTTTATTGATCACTTTAATATCCTTATTTAGGGGTGGGTAACACTTTCCCAACAATGAAATACTAGCAAAAATAATTTGATGTTTCTTCCATCCGTTCAGAAGGTCTTGAACTTGTTTGACCTTTTGAGTCCAATTGAACCATATCGTATCCCTGGCGGAGAACCATACACCCAAGATATGGACCGGTTCAGCTGTATAAATAATTTCTCCTAATGAATCATGGTGATTTCGCCATTTATCCAAACAAAAGCCCTTTGACTTGTGTAAGTTAATCACAGCACCAGAAGCATCACCATACATGCAGAAAGCATGTAATGATTGATGGATCGAATCTTCGGAAGAAAGCATCAGTGGCACATCGTCTGCGTGGG